ATAAAATCCTCCTGACTCCCATTTGGTTTCTGTCTCTTGGAATTCTACAATAGGTCTTGTTTACTTTTCTGTTCCTCAGAGTAGATCAAGTCCTATTTCCAAGTTTATTGATTCTTATGCCTACTCAAATATACTTTTTGAATTCCACTGTATTTACTGTACTTTTCAGCTTCAGAATGTTTCTATATGCTGCTTTTGTTGTCTTCTTGAATTTGTTCACATCATCTTTCAGCTCTTTGAGCATCTTTAAGACAGTGTTTGAGTATTTGCCTATTAATTCCATCATCTGGTCTGTTTCTATTGATTTACATTTTCTTCTTTTACAGAGGCCAGACTTTCCTGTTTCTTTATATACCTTGATTTTGTTGTTGAAAACTGAATGTGAGTTTTATAAATGTGGTATCTCTGAAGTTTTCTCAGGATTTGCTTGATTTTACATTCTTGTCTTTTATTCTTATTTTTTATATCATTGTAGGGTTTCTGTGCCAAAGTCAGTCTGAGATGTAAATATAGGTCTTCTGGGGTCATTTCTTAGCCTGTGCCTTTCCCTGAGCATATGTACTGGCTTTCTGAACTTCCTTAGTAGGGTGGGTTCTAACAATTTGCAGCTTCTGTTCCTGAAAGTAAGCTTAGGGATAACTCTTGTAAATGGGTAACAACCTTATTCCCCATTTGTAGATGAAAACATCAAACCCAGAGAAATGAGTATCCTAAAGTATGGACTCCAGATACGGAAAGGATATTATATGTCACTTCTCACCTGCTCAGGTACCTGAAAGGATTGTGCTCTTAAAAAGTGGTGCATGAATAGGGATGTAGCTCCATGATCAAGAATTTTCCAGCATATTTAAGGCCCTAGAAAGAAGCATAAGTACTAAAAGGAGGACTGGCTGGGAAATGGAGGTGGTGTCTGAGAAGGTAGAGGCAGTGAGCTGGCACATCCTGTACAGCACCCAGGCACTGAGTGGTAGGTGAAAATGCAGAGGAAACACAGGGTTAGATTAGGCATGTCTTCTCAGAAAGAGTTTGGGAGAAGTATAGCACCAACACCCTGCAGTCTCCAATTGGGGAAATAAGCAGGGGTGGTATCTGAAGGCATCAGTGGTATGCATGGAGTGAACCCTCCCACAAGTATAGGCTGGGTGTGAAGTGCTGTGGCACATGAGACAAAGGAAAGACAAGTTCAAACAGCATCTTGGGAGTTTATCGGAAAACAATTTTTAGACATTGAAAGTGATTAGTCAGAAAGCACAAACCTATGACCTGCAGTTCTCATCCTAGTGTCACACACCAGTGAGCTGGGGGATGACCCATTCATTAGTTGTGAAACTAATCTAAGAACACAGTACAACACAAAAGCAAGTATCAAAAATACATTAGGTTATTAGGACTAAGTGTTATCTCATGAAACAAAAAACTGTAAAACTGCTGGGGAAAGAAGCTTCTGTACCTCTCACATACTCCCTGTCCCTATCTCCTCATGTTCTTCCTCGAGATGCCTCCTTGGCTCCTCTCTTAAGGTAGCCTTCTCAGGGAAATATTTCTTCCCTATCTAAAACCGAGCCATTCCTCTGCCAATTTCTCCTATTCTTTATAGCACCAAACACCATCATGTCCTTTGTAAATGTACTTTATTTTGTGTTGGTCGAGGACTGAATAAATTGTAGTGCAAGGAAGCTGGGTGTCATGACATTTGCCTGTAATCCTAGCACTCAAAAGGATAAAGCAGGAGAACCAAAAGTTCATGGCCAACCTGGGATATAGTGAGTTCAAGGCTGGCCTAGATTACATATTGAGTTCCAACACACACACAACACACACTCAAACTCACACACACCACACATGCATGCATGCACGCATACACACACAGTGCAATTTTTTGATATGACTCCTGACATGGTAATTTCCCAGTAAGAATACTTGAGGGTAGATTCTTCTTGCTTTAGTGGGGAACAAATGACTACTCCTGTATTCACGCCAATGCAGGCCAGGAAGAGAATCCTCTTGGGTAAATGTCTACTTTGTGATTAGGACAGGTTCTCTTACTAGCAAATGCTGAAAGCTGATTCAAGGTGAATTGTAATAACCACAACTTGTCTGAATACATGGTCATAATGCCACATCAAATCAACAAGGTGCCCTGATTAGATACTCAGCTATTTACTTGGAAGAAGGCAAAGCTGCTCATAAACAAGGAACTTCACGAAGAGATATTTGAATAATGCAATTTAAATGCTTGCTTCACTTATCTCCCTAAAGACAGTGTACTTGGTACAGAGCTTGGATCCACAGGGAATTAATTTATGCCACTATGGAAGTATGACAACAGAGATAGTTTTCCGCTAATGTAATACCTTTATTTCTCATATTGAGCCTTTTACAGAGGAATTTATAGAAATTAAAAACACCATGCTACGTACTTTACATTTTTTTCCACCCAGACTCTCCTTCCACCCTTCTCTGTGCCCACCTGGGCTCACATGAAATGCATCTGCTTAGATTCTTCAGAGGAGGTATTAACAATTTGGTGGACAGTTCTGGTAGTGATAAAATCTTGATGACAGCAGCTCTCACAGGGTTCTGTTTCCATCTTTGTCCTGAGGACTCAGAACTGAAATGCCTTCCTGCAGACACTATACTCTAGGTGTTTCAATATTTGTTTCTGGCCCATCCCATGGTAGTAAGTGTGCCAGTAAAATCTTTTTAGTTGTTTTATTTTTTTTCCTACTGTATAGGCCCCATACAAACAATCCCTGTATTAACTTGTGAAAATAAATAGTTTTCCCTGACAATCACTGTATAGAACATTAACACTTAGAAAGTGTTCCTCTGGATCAACTGAATGCCTTCAGCTCTAAGTATCAGAAAGTCCAAAGAAAAAGTAAGAGAGAGTTATTATTATGGGTAATGCAAGATCCCAGAAGAGAGCTGGTGGAATTGAGCAGCTCAGTGACATCATGCCAGGGCCAACTTCTCCCACCTTGTGCACTGTCCTCTTCAGGGTAGTGTTCAACAGGGCCACAAACTATCAGCCATATCACATGTAGACATGAGAAAGTCCAGTGAAGAGAACTCTTCTCATGTCTTTCAGATCTCCTATCATTACTTTATAACTGAAATCTTCCCCAGAAGTACTGCAGAGTATCTATCCCAAGACAACTCATTGCTTACATGTTCACCCTGGATCTACCCCCACATCATCTAGGGGAAGATGGACAAACAGATAAAACAGCTCAGCAAGGAAGCAGCACCATGAGCAGTGCCTCTTGGAACCCTTACCAATGTGTAAGGGAACACAGGAACAGTGGATAAGGGAGGAAGAGACACAAGATAACACTATTTTACAAGTACAAGCACAGATTTCCTGAGATACACAGAACTAGGGTTACAGAAATCATGCCTGAAATGAGCCACTGTGAGATGCCAAGAAAATGAAAGGGGCATCTTATTACATACCACAAAATTTCATTTATAGAGTCCAGTATTATTGTTTATAACTGATGTTAACCTTTGCATAATTGTGTAAGTATCATTCTTATTAACTATTTGTATGACTGACTCAGAGAGACATGAAAAAACTTAGAAAAATACTGTTGAACTTCTTCACCAAAGGGGAAGTTTGGTAATACCGGCCATATTCAGATATGCCAGGAAACAGCCAAAAGTAAGTAACACGGTTCTTTGTTTAAAAAAAAAAAAAAAAAAATTCCCTGGGGGCTTGGCTCAGGGGTTCCGCAGACTGCCTTACAAGGCCAAGGGCCAAAGTTTAATCCCTGATCCCAAAAAAAAAAAAAAAAAAATTCCCTGGGGGCTTGGCTCAGGGGTTCCGCAGACTGCCTTACAAGGCCAAGGGCCAAAGTTTAATCCCTGATCCCAAAAAAAAAAAAAAAAAAAAAAAAAAAAAAAAAAAAAAATCACTTAAAACATATACTGGCCTCCTGAGTTAGATCCCTGGTACAAAACAAACAAACAAACAAAACAAACAAAAAACCCCAAACATATATTGGCCAACCTATATAGAGACTCTGGTAGTATTTAGAATTGCACTGATTGAGAGGTAGTTAAAAACCTCACAAGAACATCTTTTGGCTTCTTTACTGAAGAGGCAGTTCAGTAATAATGGCCATAGTCATTTTTTTCCCCAGGAAATAAAAAAAGGAGTAGGTGCTTTGTACTTGAAATATGCCAAGTATCTTTTCATATATACAAATAGGTAGACTTGTCAATATGTGATAACAGTTAAGTAAAGAAACATCTTGAAATATAGTTTGCAGTTTCCATAGTATATTCCGATTAAGGTGAAGCTACCAGCATATGGTGTTGGGAAGATACATGCAGCAGCACATGATCATAGAGTATTCTCACCATACAAGTACCCTAATATAAGTAATTTAAACCACAAAGATAACAGTGAAATTTAGCAAAACTATTAGGAAGTGGAGAGTATTAACTTTTGAAATGTAACTGTAAATTTATACATTTTAAAATAATGACCATGTTTAAAAATTGGCTCATAATAGTCCTGAAAATTTAACAATCAGCAGTATTTGTCACTATGAGATGACATGAAGATATCACTGTATGTGTAGGTATGTATAAACAAATATATTTACATATATAGACACATTCACATATATGTATACACACATATAATCCTAAGAACAAAGACACTGGTGGGATTTAAGTGCAAAATATTTATACCATAAGTTACTAAACTAAGCATTCATGGGCTCCAGCATACCAATCAAATTTCTGTTACATTAGCATACTCACATGAGGCCTACAAACAACAGGGATTCTTCACATATATGTTTAATGTTACTGTCATTCACTTGTTTTAAGCTTCAGATTCCAGCGAATATGGATAAAATAAATATTGCCATATATATATATATATATATAGCCATATATATATATATTGCCATATATATAATACAGTTTTTGTATCACATCTGGCAGATGACATAACAAATTTTAAAAGATTTTTTTACAATATTACTTAAATGAATAGACGAGTACAAATTTTCCAATGAAAAGTTACTGTTCTTGAAAGCTTTCACATTTAAATGAGATGTCACTTTCTAATACTTTGTGGCATTCTTTGGCTTTTGCTCTCATTTTTAAAACTGTACAGTAAATCTGACAGATGTTTGAAAGCTTCTGAACACTCAGGATATTGGAAGAGCTTTCACCCTTGTGTGAATTCTCTGATGCTTAGTAAGTACTGACCTCTGACTAAAGGTCTTCCCACATGCATTACATTCATAGGGCTTCTCCCCTGTGTGAGTTCTTTGATGTTTAGTAAGAGCTGATTTTTCACAGAAGGTCTTCCCACATTCATTACATTTATAGGGTTTCTCCCCTGTGTGAGTTCTTTGATGTACAATGAGGTTTGACTTCACACAAAAGGACTTCCCACATTCATTACATATAAAGGGTTTCTCTCCTGTGTGTGTCCTCTGATGGACAGTCAGGGCTGATCTATGGCAGAAGGATTTCCCACATGCACTACACTCATAGGGTTTTTCTCCCGTGTGTGTCCTCTGGTGTTCAGTGAGGTTTGACTTCACACAGAATGTTTTTCCACACTGCTTGCAGGCATACGGTTTCTCTCCTGTATGTGTTCGTTGATGGTTGGTAAGGTGTGGTTTCTGGCAGAAGGCTTTCCCACATTCAGAGCATTCATAGGGCTTCTCTCCTGTGTGTGTTCTCTGATGCTGGGTGAGGTTTGACTTCTCCCAGAAAGTTTTGCCACATTCACCACACTCAAAAGTTTTTTCTCCTGAGTGACCTCTCCGAGATTGGGTTAAATGTGACTTCTTGCTGAAATTATTCCCATTTTCATGGTACTCATAAGGTTTTTCCCCTGAGTGTACTATCTGATGTTTAAAGAGGATTGACTTTTCCCACATTTTGTCATTCACTTTATATTCTTGGGAAATCTTCCTTGTGTAAGCTCCCTGATGGGTAATGAAAGTTGAATTGTCACAGATTTCCCCATATTCATTATATTCGTAAGGACTGACCTCTGTAATAGCCCTCTGATGTTCAAATTGTAAGTCCATATAAAAGACTTTCCCACAGATACTGCATTCATGTGGCTCCATATCCAAACAAGTTCTCTGTGATATATCAAGCTTTAAACTGTTGAACACTCTTCCACATCTGGTGTATCTACAGAGTGGCTCTCCTATTTGGGACTTCTGATTTGTAAAAAAGGTTGTTTGCTCAAGAAATTCTGGTCTGTTTTCATCATATTCAAAAGGTTCATCAAAAATTGGTTGAGTGAAATCCTGATGACTAAGGACATTCCTTTTTTGATTGTATCTATAAGACTTCTCTCCAATAGGAATTTTTTCATGCCTAATATCAAAGAGTAATTTCTCACATATATTAAACTTATCAGGCTTCTTTTTGGAATAGTTTTTTTTATTAATAATTAAGCCTGAAATATTTTTCAAACTCATTTCACATGAGTCACATATTTTGAAGGGAAAATTTCTTGAAGAAATTGTGTTTGTGTCCAGACTGAAAATTTTCCGAACTCTGTTACCACTTTCCACACTTACTGTTTTGTTGCTGGTGAATATGAGCTGCCAAAAATGTTCGCCTTGATTTTCCTGGCTGCTCTCTAAAAGGTCATCAGCTTTCCATTTCCTTTCTAGAAATGAGCAAAATAACCATATCTTATGAATATTAATGATTTCTGGTGAACTCTGACTTTATATAAATATCCTTTACCATTGTCAATTCCTTTGTCAGACTAGGTTTCCTGGAGTGAATTGAACCTATTTCTTTTTCCTTTCAGTTTGAATGGAAAACACAAACATACTGCTGTGGAAGTAGGGAGCTGAAGCTGGCAATGATACTCAAGAGTACATAAATATAATCTTCAAAATTGGATATGAAAAAAGATAAACCAAGGCTGGGTGTGGTGGCGCATGCCTAAAATCCCAGCACTTGGGAGGCTCAGGCAGGAGGATCACTGTGAATTCGAAACCAGCCCAGGCTACATAGTGAGTTCTGCAACCCACTTTCCAGGTCCCCTCCTGTCTCTCTCAGGCAGGAACTGTCTATCCCTCAATAAGTATTTCCTACTCCTAAAAAAAAAAAAAAAAAAAAAAAAAAAAAAACAAAAAAAAGATAAACTAAATGCACAGCACAGACAATTGAATGACTGATTAAGAAATAGGGAAACATGGTGAAACCAAAAGAGACAAAGGGAAAGTGAAGACAAGCAGCTCAAGGGTTTCAAAGAATGATCTCTGGTGAAGACAGAATAGAGTTTAGTCTTGATCCTTTAGACATAGGACATGGGGGCAGACTCCCACCCTAACATGCATGTTTTCTATTTTATACATCCAAACCAAATTAAATTCTGTAAACACCAATTTCTCCAGGTTCAAAAGAATACTCTGATAGCTGAAGATCTAAATCAATTTTACTGCCAAAGATGATTTTATAAAATGCTGTAGAAAGCACGCTGAAGGAGGTAAAATGAACTCAGACAGACATGGTGGACAGGGATGAAGTTTGGAGCTGTTCCAAGAATAGGAAATTCACAGAGAGTTAGATGAGTTGTTTTTAAATAAAGTGTTAGAAAAATGAAACAAAAGAAGAATTCAGTTTGGCAGAGGAAAAGTATGGTTTATACCTTTATTTGCTTCCAGCCTGATTGTTATAGCAGGACTCTCACTACTATGCATGTCTACTCCTATACCTACATATTTTAAGTTTGCTTATTTCTAGGTCTTTATTTTATAACTAGGTTTTATGTTTTAAAATCTAGTCTCATCTGTGGCTTTTATTTACATTTGGGACCTGTAAAAACCATTTTTCTGTAGGTACTCAGACCTTCAATACACTTTATCACAAAAATTCTTGCCTATCCTTCACTGTTGCTATCCTGCAGCAACGTTAATCACATCTGCTAGGTGTTGTGGCACAAATCTATAATTCTAGCTACCGGTGAGGCTGAAGCATGAGGACTCCAAGTTTGAGGCCAGCCCAGCAATTTAGCAAGATCCTGCCTCAAAACAAAAACAGAGTAGGGATGTAGCTCAGTGGCAGAGTTAAGTATGAAGCCCAGGGTTCAGTATACACACACACACACAGACACACACACACACACAAACTATGCAGGGGCTTCAAAGACCAAAAGATAGAAGTTGTCATCCTGGCAAAAACAAACTGAAACAAATAAACAAAAAATACTTTATACCAAGTGATTCACATTAAAGTGGTCAATATTTCATAAATCCATTACAAATATCTATATACAGCTAGTTATCAAACTCTTCTAAATTTCTCATTAAGAACACACCTTTCTGAGTTTGAGCCCTAGTACCAACAAAAACAAAAACAAAAACAAAACAATAACAAAAAAAATCCACACCAAAAAAACCCAAACCATAAAACCATTTTAGGATGATGAACGTATCTATAACCCCCACCCCCCAAAATCCACACCTTTTTCACTCAACTAGAAGCATTCTAGTCTTGGGTTTTCCTGAGAACTTGGACCACCTTCAGTGAAATGCTACTTTCTTTAATTAAAAAACAAAAACAATAATAATAATAATAAAAGAATAAAAGCCAAGAATATAATACATCCTATCATTTTAAGACTCCATGTGTTCTGTCCTTTAGCAGTTACTGTCCATGTAACTACTCTAACATAAAACAAAGCCCTTGGTCAATGCCAAGCCTCTACGTGACCATAGTCTAGATTGTTGAACATATGACTAGTCTTATTTCCCTTGCTTCTTCAGAGGTGAAAATACAGTAGTGATTCTTAAAAAGCAACGTGTAATAGATTATTTCCAACCTCTACCTAATGAGTTATAGTTTCAGGGCAAAATATGGGAATGTGCATTTAGGAAGAGTACTACAAATATTTTTGGAATGGATGAAAGGGAATTTCTCCTAATATTGACTCCACAGGCAATCAATACTCTACTAAAATGTCAGAATTAGGAAAAGTAAAAGTGGTCCTTTTTGGAAGAATGAAATCCCTATGAAGAAAGAAACTCTAAGCAACAGCCATGAATGACCATCTGAATATGGAGCCTACAGCCACCAGCGGGTTACTGTCATAAAATATAGATTATTAACAGCAAAATATCACTCTAATTTAAAACAATTAAAATAACAAGCCACTACCATGTACCACTACATAATGTGGAAATGCTTTACATATTCAGTATTAATTATCTGCAAAAAAGCAAAGTAAATAAGTTTTAGGTAACTGAAAGCATGTATAAACACAATTTAAGATACAGGATAATATGAAATGTTTATAAATTATGGAGAATAGAAAAAACAAATGTAAGAGAGAAGAGAACCACATTAAAATAATCAATGAAAGAAGACTTTCATTTCTTTTTACGGGTAACTCAGGTCAGTGAGAGATAAACTGAATGATTTAAGTAAAAACAAACAAAAATGCCAGTGATTTAGGTCAGAGGCACCATGCCTGTCTGGCAAGTTCAACGTCCTGAGTTTGATTTCTGGTATTGGAAAAAATTTAACCCACAAACAAAAAAAGAAACCAGTTAAGAATTATGAATAATCAGGAATGAAGGAACACAGATACATTTCTGCTTTTGAGCATTATCTGTGAAAAGAGAGAATATGAAGAGATGTGGGCAGTTGTGAAAGATAAATAATTAGAGTATTATGAGGCTAGTAAGAGGTGACAACAGGTTTGTATAGGGACCACAGCAGGCACTCTGACTCCTGGGAAATGGGAATGCTGGCTTCTGTGTAGATCAAGTTGCTCTTTCTCAATCTCTTCTACTACATAGATTTAACTCTTATGAAAAGTAGTATTGTGCCAGGACTACTCTCACCTACATACAACCAGACTCTACAAAAGGGTGACAAACTATGACCATAGGCAATGGCTATGACACTAAAATTGTTTTTCATGTTTTTAAAGGGAAAAGGTGGAAGAGGCAGTAGGGAGGTGGGGGAGGAAGAAGAGGAGAGAGAGGAAGAGAGGAAAAAATGAATAAGTAAACAGAGTATCAGCAGCAGCAACAAGGACCACATGTGGCTCAAGAGGCCTAACACATTTACTGTTCAGTCTTTTTTTCTTTTTGCAGTACTGCAGATTGAACCCAGAGCCTCACACCTGTAAGTGCTCTAGCACTGAGCTACATCCTCAGCCCTTTTTATCTTTTAGATAGAGTCTAAGTTGTCCAGGGTGTCCTTCAATTTGTGATCCTCTTGCTTCAGCCTTCTGAAATGCTAGGATCAAAGATGTCCCACCTCATCTGGCTACTGGGTGGCCTTTTACAAAGTCTAGCCCCATATCTTTAGCAGCCTCTGATGCTGGAGCCTTTCAAGGGATGTGTCTTATTCTTCCCTTAACCATGAACTCCATACTTAGACATATCTGACCTCCCAGCCAATACAAGACTAGATCCGAATAGTTAACTCCAACCTCTGTTGAATATTAAACCTGCCATAACTTCTATCATGACTCCTCCATAATTTTCTCTATCTCAGAAATGGCACCTAATTTATCCAACTGCTTGAGACAAATCATTGGAGTATTCTTGACTCTCTGTCCCTTATACTCTTTATGCAACAGCAAATCCTCATGGCCCGATATTCAAGCATCTGTACAAACCTCCATCTCAGAACCTCTGGCAGTCAGAGGCAATATCCCCTCCTAATTGCTATTCTTTCCTTCACCAGGTCCACCCATCACAGTACAGTTACCACAGAGAAATCACAGCGATCCTTTTAACTATAAATCAGATCTGATATTGAATCTGATCTACATTTACCCCCCCCAAAAAAAGAAAAAAAAAGAGGGTTTCCCATCATATCCCTCAATTCAAATTACTGTATCTACCATGGCCTGTGCTGCTGCTACTTCCATTACCACCTATTAGGCTCCCCCATGCCCAGTAACTTCTGGCCTCACCTGTCTCCCTAACACTGTTCAGTCTAAGAACACATCTGCCTCAATGTGCTCTCTTCCTGGGGCATACTCTCGATCTTCACACCTCACATTCAGTTTGTCAAAGGTTTGTATCTAATGTGGACCTCATCAAAAAGTGTTCTCTCACCCCACAGCTAAAGAACATTCTCTCATGTACTTACTTACCTTTCCTCATGTAAACTCTTCATAATACTTTTCATCACCCAAGAGTGTATCTGCAGGTATATATGTGCACATATACATAAATACATACATATATGCCTGTGTTTGTGGATCAATGTTATATACATTCTGTGGTATAAGAGACACTGCTCTGTTCATTACCTAAAATATATCTGGGCCACCATGATATTCATCATCATATATTTGTTAAATGGATTTATGAAGAAGTGCACAAATAATATGCCAGGTAACAAAAGATATTCTAAGAAAATAGAGAGGTGAACAATTTTAAAAGATAAAGTAAATCTAAGGAAAAATAATCTAAGATAAAGCCAACTAACTTTAGATTAAAGGTACAAGTCATTCTAAAGTATTAAAGAAAAGCATTTATGAGTGACAGTGACTAAGGTAATAGGACAGTCAAGCATAGTGGCACATGCCTGTAATCCTAGCACTCTTGGAGGCTGAAGCAGGATTACAAACCAGAGCCAGTCTGAGCAAATCTGGCAACTCAGCAAGACCCTTTCACCAAAAACAAAAACAAAAAAGAGCTGGGAAAAAAATCACTCTGGGCTTAAGGCTGTAGGTTCGACCCACAGTACCAGACATAAAAAGGTTAACAGAATGAACAACATGTAGGCCACATGTTCTTGGTCATTTCCAAACATCTCTGCTAAAAATCAAAGTTTCTGAAAAATATTCCAAAGATGACAAACCCTAAACCAATGACCTAAGATTAATTTCCTCTTGTTTTCACTGCCAGTGGTTCTACTAACCCACCTGGGTTATAGAGGCTTGGAAATCCCTTCTCCAATATCCAGGGCTCCTCCCCTTGCTCTATCTTGAAGATCACTTCTGGCTTAGCAATGCAATGCCCTGGTGAGAGAAAATAACAAGAGTTGGGTAAACAGCTCTCCCTAGCAAACATTGAAAAACTCAAGGGAAAGAAAAGTAGTTTCAAGAGCCGCTCAAAGAAGGTATCTGAATGGACCAATCCCTTAGGAGGTTAAGAACACACTCTTTATAATAGCCGCAAGGGATCAGTCATCTCAGAGCCTTGAATCTCAGGCTTTAAATCAGAAAAGTTCAGGGCATTCACTTTAGAGACCTAAAAATGCATGTGATGATTAGCCACACTGAAAAAACAATTCTTACCTACTGAGACAAGGTTACTGTAATTTTCCAGGATCACATCCCTGTACAGTATCTTCTGAGTGGGGTCCAGCAGACACCACTCTTCCTTAGTAAAGTCCACACACACGTCCTTGAATGACACTTGCTCCTGAAAGACAACATCCCTCTTCTATGTGAAGTGGTCAGAATTAGACATCGAAGAGCTTCAAAAGAACTAATGTCTCTAGAGTTTACTGGAAAATGACAAATGGGATTGTTCTTTTTGTGCTACAGTATGTAAAATAATATAAAAATCTTATACAAATTGAATTTCTACTATGGGTCTGGGTCTGTCATAGTTGCTACAAATACTACTGATACAATGAAAAGCACGGTTTGTTTGGAAGTGCTTATGGCCCGATAGGACACACTCTCATGATCATAGTAGATGAGCACTGAAGAAGCTAGAAGTGTTATCAGGTAACTTTCATGAAGAAGTAAAATTTGCAGTCATTAAGATAAATAATTGGGTTCAAATGAACATGGTATAGGCCCTGATCAAGAGAAACCCAGGACTGATTAAAGTGAACAGAGAAAAAGATGAATCTTCCCTGCTTCAAGAGATCATCCTCTGGGCTTGCTACGTATTTTTGTTTTTAAACAAAGTATTCAGCTGGGTATGGTGGTACACATCTGTAATCTCAGCATTTAGGAGGAAGAGAGCACAAGTTCAAGGACAGAGTGAACTATATAGCAATACCTTGTCTCAAAACAAAACTAAAAACATAGTATTTGCCATCCAGTAAAAATTTTCCTGGTATGACAAGCAGGAACCAAGAAAAAAGACAATAAAAGCACAGCCATGGGTGACCCAAGTACTGGAATTAACAAGAACTTGACACTGAACTGATTAATATGTTCAATAAAATAGAGGAAAATGTGACTAAAATAATGATGGAAAATGTTCACCAGGTATATGGCATTTGTGTTGTGTAGGAAGCAACTGTTGACCGACTGTTGACCTCTGAAAGGTATGCTGCAGAGTCCCTGGTGGGCATCTGCAGGTGTGATTTCAGGAAGGCACATATCTTGTCACTCGCTGCTAAGAGCAGCCTACCATACCTGCATTGTTTGTGTAAAAAGTTTGGTTATGCTGAGTATGTACTTTCCTTCAGAAAGCCTAGAATTTTGGTACACACTAGGCGCACAGTACCTCTGTGACCAGACCCCGGTAAAAATTTTGGGCAACAAGTGTCCATCAAGCTTCCCTGGTACACACTGCATGTGTGTTGTCACATCATTGCTGGAGGACTTAAGCATCTTTTGTAACATTCTACAGGGAGAAGAGTCTTAGTATCTCACTGATTTTGCTTTATATCCTTTTATACTTTTTATGTGTGACCATCTGCTGAATTGCTGTAGCGAGTCTCTGAGCCTGGGGTGATCTTAGGAACCTTGTAAGTACATAAACACACACACAAATGGGCATAGAACAGTTGCAAAATACAATATCTGAAATTAGAGCTGGATTTGAAACCAGATTAGAGAAAGAAGATGCAATCTGAAATCACATGTATATAACCAAAAAGACTGTCAAAAGAAGAATTTGTAATAGTACATGCCTGTAATGCCACCACACTGGGAAGCAGAGGCAGGAGGATCACAGGTTTGTGTAGAACCTAAGTACCTTAGTGAGACTGTTTATCTCCAAGTAAAACAGAAGAACATCAAGTGATACAGAATCTTTGGAATACCTGCGCAGTTGTATACAAAGCTAAACTAAATTGCAAGTCTTTACACACAACCCAAAATTTCACACTCTATGTATTTACTCATTTTAAAATTTGGATCTTGTGTAGTTGTGGGGGAGGATGGGGGAAGGTAAGTGGTAATACTGTACCATTTGGGCATTTTGCTTTTTACCTTCCCCAAAAGGGGATAGCCTGGCCAACTTGCTCCAGTAATGCAATAAAGACATTATAATAAAACAAAGCAAAACTTGGATTTATACTAAAACCTGCACGTGAAATTTTCCAACAGCTTAATTTATGATCAACACATAGTAATGGGGGATATAGGTCAGTGATAAGAGCACTGGTCCACTATACATAAAGCCTTTGATTCAATCCTCTAAGCCACAAAAAAAAAAAAAAAAGAAAACACACACACACACACACACACACACACACACACACACACACACGCAAAATCAACAAGCACTAGAAAGAAACAAGGTATCTTTAAAGCATTAAAGGAAAGAAAAAAAAAAGAGTCCAATCCAGAATTCTGTATTTAGTGAAAATATCCTTCCAAAAAGAAGATACATCTTCAAACAAAAAACTGCTGAGAAAAATTTTCACCATAAGACCAACACAAGAAACAGTAAATGAGTTCTTTGTGCTGAAGGCAAATGGTCAAAGAGGAAGCATGGAACAGCTAGAAGGCAGGGCAAACAGGAAAGGACAACACCCAAGCAATTACAAAGCCTATGGACTGTCTAAAGCCTTATTATTCAAGATTTCTCTTATGGTTTGAAATACAGAAAAAGCAAAAATGGCAATAGCACACAGGTAAAGGAGTGTGTGGAATGTTACAATAATTTAACTGTGAAGTTCTTAGATACCAAGGTAAACTCTAAATGAATTAGAGATTTAAATATAAAATGCATAAGGGATATTCATAAGCAGATAATTTATCATCATGAAGTAAGGACTTTCTAACTACGCCTCCAAATGCTATAAAGTTGAACCACATATTTTGTGGGAGAATCTGTGGAGAAACAAACACTCTCATGCACTGCCAATAAATCTACTAAAACCCACCAACTTCTGCAAATTCATCTGATAAACCTATCTGTTACATTCATGAATGTAGAGAACACGAATAATCTGATGTGCATGTGTGTGTACAAGGTTGTTCATTCTAACAAGGTTTGCAACCACCAAAAGGTTGGACACAGTATAACTCAGATAAGAATATGAATTACCATGCAATTTTAACAAAGAAAAGATCCATGTTGTCACAGAAACTTCTGGGACATGCTATTAACAGAAAATAATGCATAGGATTCCTTTCTCAACAAGTGGTCCCCTGAGCAGATCTGACTTCATCTGGGAGCTTATTAGCCTCAGAGTTCAGGGCTCAAACTACACTAAATCAGAATCTGCATGGTAACACAATGCTAGGGATGCACAGATGCATCTAAGTTTAAGAAGCACTAAGGACAATCAATGGATCCCCTCTTAAAGGGAGGGGACATGTAAGCATATATACCCATAGAGCTGGGGATTTAGCTCAGTGGTTCTGGCGCCTGCCTTGCAAGTGCAAGGTCCCGAGTTCAATCCCAGGTACAAAACCAGAAAAACTCACAGACCCATGTTTAAACTAGAGACACTGGAAGGACAGATAAGCAACAATTAAAAGCTGGGTATTTGGAGTGATCATACACTCTACTTTTTCTGGGGCTGTCCCAAAATATGCCCATTGTCCCAGAATAGTAACTCTAAGAATACCTTTCATGTTCAGTGAAAATATCTCTGGAGGATTAATAGTAGCCTATCCAGAAGGAGAAGCAGGAACAGAGTGCAAATTTTTGCATCTTTTGTGTTACTTTTTCCACTCTCATTTGTAGAGGTTTTAAAAAATATAATCATTTGCCTTCTTAAACATGTTAGTACAGTATATTAATAATTCAAGAAAGTTTTATTATTTAAAAAACACATGAAATCTGTCAGTTAAGCAGAAGTACAATGAATTAAGAATGGAAATCCAGATATAAACATGGAACAAAAGAAAAAGTTGTCCTATGAACACTGGACAGGAAGTCCGTTAGGAACATACCTCAGAATCCTGTTACACATATTTTCAAAACAAAGACCATGCTCAGTACTATCAAATGCCACTGAATGACGGGAGTACAGTTAAAAAAAAAATTCAATGGCTCTGATCATGATTCAGTGGCCTTTTCTATAACTGATTCAGGTGAGTGGAGGTGATACAATAAGGCTGTATCTATCAGATGGAAATGTAAAAACATAAGTCAGAACTGCCTGCTATTCTAAGCGAAAACAAGTTGAGACATTTAAGAGTGTCTTGAAGACTTATAGTCCCTCCATTCCTCCACATCTTCCAGGTCTTATTCTTGGGTCAAGTGGGACTATCAGAGCACAGTCTACTTAAACCTTAAGGCTCCATCACTTCTGGCACTGTGTTTCTACCTAGAAATGACTATACAAGATATTACATGTATTTCAGGGCTATTAGGAAGATCAGAGAAATTTTACAATAACCTAGATAACCCTGTAAAATAAAAAACCCTGCATCTAACTTACCAAATACTTGCAAACTTGCTTTGTTTTGTATTGGTTTCACATCTCTTTTATTGGTGCATACTGACTATACAGATTAATGGGTTTCATTTTGGCAAATTTCTATAGGCACATAACATACTTTGATCATTTTCACCCCTGCCCTCCACCTATGTAACTCCCTTGGCCTGCAGCCCCCCTAGTTTCACATTTTTGGGTTTCAATAAATGTTTTTTGGTACTGGGGATTGAACTTGGGTCCTTGTGCTTGCTAGGCAAATGCTGGAACCACTGAGCTATATCCCAGGCCCTCAATGCATATATTTTGTTCATATCCATTTCTCCTTTTACCTGCCCTTACGTTCCCCTCCCCTTCCTTGATTCCCTTCCTTTTGTCTAATAATAGTTACCCTTCTAATTTTATCTTTTTTTTTGGAGGCAGTCTCTCACTATGTAACTCAGGTTGGCCTCCAACTCTCGGTGATCCTCCTGTCTCAGCCTTCCAAATGCTAGGATTATAGTTATGTGCCACCATGCCTGTTTCAGCTTCCAGTATTAGCGAGACTGTTCGATATTTGCCTTTTTGAGATTGGCTTATTTTGCACACGATGCTCTCCAGATCTATGTATTTTCCTGTAAATGACAAAATTTTGTTCCTAATGGCTTCTGTATAGATACTTTGCTTTGTCATCTGCTGCTGAGCACATAGACTAGTTGATGTAAATGTTTGTCTATTTTTTCTTCCCACTTAAAAAAAGTACCAATCCTTATAAAGTGGAAGTAAACAACTTACCTGTGATTTGCTCATTTTCCGCTCTTAGTGGAGGAAGGAGAGCTGAGAGAGAAGGAAGGATGGATGTCAGGACAGACGTGGCCTGCCTGAATTTAGATATACTTTTCACTGAGTGAATGTAAATATTTGTTGCTTATCGATTTATTATTAGCAATTTAGGATCTGTGACACAGAAAAATTAAAAACGTAAAAAGATGAGTTTAACAAGTAACAGTATTCCACAGAAGAAAATAGTGTGGATTTGTCAAAACTGCTGTTGTAATAAGAAAAACAAAAACTCAGGCCATATTACCTATGTGGTAACACCATTAATCCCTTGAGGCCGAATACTCCAAGAAACCTCTATAAAAAGGGTCAGCAGTGTGTAAGACAAGATAAACTTTATTAAATATTTGTCCGAGCTTGCTTGCAGTTTCTCAAATGGCTTTTAATCAGGCTAACTTTGATCAGGTCTCCTAATCTGCGTGATGTAAACCAGGCACCTCCTAAAGATTTGTGTCCGAGCTTGCTTGCAGTTTCTCAAATGGCTTTTAATCAGGCTAACTTTGATCAGGTCTCCCAATCTGCGTGATGTAAACCAGGCACCTCCTAAAGATTTGGGGGGGGTACCGGGGGTAGAACTCGGGACCTTGCGCTTGCGAGGCAGCTGGCGGAACCACCGAGCTAAATTCCTGGCCCTCAAGATTGTTTTTTTAGTCTAGGCGAGGAGCCGCCCACGGAGGCATAAGGGCCCCCGCGCGCGCTGACTCCGGGGGTACTGGGACGCTCCCCCGGGTCTAGCTCACCTCGCTCCTCGCGGGCTTCGAAGAGGTGTCCCCGCGGGGCCCGCGCCAGGCGGACGCTTAGGCCTGCTTTCGATCAGCCCCGAGCGTCGCGCACGAGAGAGACGAAGCCGCCGCAACCGAGGGAGCGAGAAACTAGCAGGACAGCCCGGGGCGGCGAGAGCGCCAGAAGGCCGCATGGTACGGGGTTACCGAGGCTCCGCCAGGCCGCGGGCTCTGGACATCCCATTCAC